GAGGTATGAATTGCAAATTCCTGCATCAGCTTTAAAAGTGAAATATTTTGTAAGAAGATGAACTGATACAAATACAGGACGCCATTAACAGACACAATAGCAGTCGATTCATAAAGCATGCTTAAAATTACGATATCAGCCATAAGTCTTTCCCGCCGAGGAGTGCGAAAACTTCCCCAAGGAGCTGATTTTCTTTGTAAAATTACATGGAGAATGTGATCGATGAAAACCATAGTGCTTCTCTCTATGACTTCTGCAGCACCATGGACTATCCCAAGAATAGCAATAGACTTGGTGTTATCAAGGTCTGCTTGCAACACTCGAAACATAAACGCTGCTCCAAAATACAACGGCGTAAGCAAGACGAACGAACGTCCTGGATGAGTTACACGCCATAACCGCTGAACGCATATTCGAGAGATCACCTTAAGAACGACCCCGATGAGAGGCGAGAAGATTGCTATAAGTAGCTTTCCTTTCTCATCTTGCTTGCCGTACATTGGGTAAATATAAGATGCTACGAAGATGCCGATTATCATAGAGAAACAGACTGGCAATATCATTTTTAAAAATAAATACCGCCTTTTTGTTAGAGTACGGAATACATTTGTTAAGAGATAAGTTTGCCAACATACACTGGAGAGGAAAAGTACGTTCAATGGAATCCTTTGTAACACAGAAAGTTTAGAACGAGATATTCCAAGAAGTTGAAGAGCCACGCGATAAAGTGCATCCAAAGAAAACAGAAGAAAAGCTACAAGGAACAGTTTCCCCTTCAACCCCATTATCTGATATGGTCGAAAAAGTAAGAGCGTACCTTGAAAGAACAACAAGTGCAGGAAAACACAACCTGTGATGGCAGACAAAGTTCTAATCCATTGTAGTTTCTCAGGAATTGTCTCCGTGTCATTATACTGGCAGTTGTTGATAGTTTGATAGCTGACGTAGGTTATCATTATATATAGTGCGCCTATTAAAGCAGCGGTCAACAGTGAAATCAAAGCACCAGTACGTAATGCTTTCCAAAATGTCGAAAG